TTGTAAATCTCACATTTGATGATGGACCACAGGTTCTCAATGGGGTTCAGATCAGGTGAACAAGGAGGCCATGTCATTAGATTTTCTTCTTTTATACCCTTTCTTGCCAGCCACGCTGTGGAGTACTTGGACGCGTGTGATGGAGCATTGTCCTGCATGAAAATCATGTTTTTCTTGTAGGATGCAGACTTCTTCCTGTACCACTGCTTGAAGAAGGTGTCTTCCAGGAACTGGCAGTAGGACTGGGAGTTGAGCTTGACTCCATCCTCAACCCGAAAAGGCCCCACAAGCTCATCTTTGATGATACCAGCCCAAACCAGTACTCCACCTCCACCTTGCTGGCGTCTGAGTCGGACTGGAGCTCTCTGCCCTTTACCAATCCAGCCACGGGCCCATCCATCTGGCCCATCAAGACTCACTCTCATTTCATCAGTCCATAAAACCTTAGAAAAATCAGTCTTGAGATATTTCTTGGCCCAGTCTTGACGTTTCAGCTTGTGTGTCTTGTTCAGTGGTGGTCGTCTTTCAGCCTTTCTTACCTTGGCCATGTCTCTGAGTATTGCACACCTTGTGCTTTTGGGCACTCCAGTGATGTTGCAGCTCTGAAATATGGCCAAACTGGTGGCAAGTGGCATCGTGGCAGCTGCACGCTTGACTTTTCTCAGTTCATGGGCAGTTATTTTGCGCCTTGGTTTTTCCACACGCTTCTTGCGACCCTGTTGACTATTTTGAATGAAACGCTTGATTGTTCGATGATCACGCTTCAGAAGCTTTGCAATTTTAAGAGTGCTGCATCCCTCTGCAAGATATCTCACTATTTTTGACTTTTCTGAGCCTGTCAAGTCCTTCTTTTGACCCATTTTGCCAAAGGAAAGGAAGTTGCCTAATAATTATGCACACCTGATATAGGGTGTTGATGTCATTAGACCACACCCCTTCTCATTACAGAGATGCACATCACCTAATATGCTTAATTGGTAGTAGGCTTTCGAGCCTATACAGCTTGGAGTAAGACAACATGCATAAAGAGGATGATGTGGTCAAAATACTCATTTGCCTAATAATTCTGCACTCCCTGTAATGAATGTAAAAATGTTGAACGTATGGGTAGGTGTGTATCAGAGATACCGTAACGTAAGAACTCAGGTAAGTTGAGGGACCTGAAAGTTGGTCCGTCAATTAGAGACAAGCCCCTGGGGTCCCACAATGTGAATTTTTTGAATGATACGAAGGCAAAGTGAGGCCTTAAGGAGAAATATAATCGTAGTGAGTAAGATTACCAATATCTGATACTGCAAAGCAGGGAACCAAGTAGCCTGTAGGTTGTCGATGGCTTAGGACTTGGGGAGCTGCGGTAATGACACAGGTCTAAGTAATGATATGTAGAAATGGAGTAGTAGTAGTAATATGGTTGATTATGATTATGAGATTGTTGTTGACGTTTGTGAGGAATCTTGGACCAGGTACGTCTCGAAGTTTAGAACCCACCTTGAGAGGTGGGGGACAGTATTAGGCCGTGGAGGCTGAATGAGGCCTCAAGGAAAAACTTAAAAATGGTAAACCTTACCTGTTACCGAAAAGCGGGATACTGGGTACCTCTTATTGGAGCTTTGTTTGAAGAAAAGTATTAGTAGCAAGGTAGTGTAGGTTTGTGTGATTATTGTTTACTCGTCGTGAGGAATCTCAGATCTGGCCTGTTCGAAGTTTAGAACCCACTTTGGGAGATGGGGGGCTGTATGAGGCTGTGGAGGCTGAATGAGGCCTCAAGGGAGAACGTAAAATGGTAAACCTTCTTACCTGTTACATAAATGCAGAATACTGGGTACCTCTTCTTGGAGCTTTGTTGGAAGAAAAATATAAGTAGTAAAACCCAAAAAACATATGCAGTCTAAGTGTAAGGAACCAGTATATAAGGACTTTTAAGGAACGGAGGTTTTAAATTGTGCTAATGGTCGGTAAAGAGCCTGGAGAAAAAGGACCGTAAGGCTTAATCTATGAGCAGAGAGACCATAGTTGCATATAAGACTAATACATAAGGGAAAGTACAATAATCTAACTCCTGGCAGGGTATGATAATGCCTGGAGGTGTATTTTTTAAACAGACCAGGAAGATTTACCCTGTAAAAGATAGGAGTCCCATAATTATGTGACCATGGGCGGGAATATTAGAAACACATATTATTTAACCAGTGGTGACTTTAAGAGCCATGTACACATAAATCCAAATAGGATAAATAATGCGAGTGCTTAGTTACGTGAAAGCAAACTATGTACAATTACAGTAGATTTGAGAATTTAAACATTATAGGCTCTTGCTTTCTGTAAACGAATGAACAGGAGAACTGTAATGAGAAAGAACTCCTGTGTTCGGTTAAATTGAGCATACAAACAAATTTTAAACAAAAGCCAATGTATATGTGTTCAGCTGAACGACCGAACGGATTAAATAGTCCAATGTAAGTTTGTTTAGTGCGGTCGGTAGTTAGCTTATATGAAAATGTAAACGACAGGAGTGTACTCTGTGGTCGGCTGTTAGCCACACGAAATCAGAAGTACACGAACGGAGTAAGAGCATGAATGGGTAAGAAATGAAAGGAGCCTATCCCCGTGTTTTTAGGCCCGAACATGGGAAATAGCCAAACGCCATTTCCCACATTTATGCTTACGTGGACGTGCCCATCTCGTGACCGGAAGTCAGGTAGCAAGTGACGAAGTCGGGTAGAAGCCGGAGGACGGGCATGGAAGACGGAGGCAGAAGCTGCTGGCGACAGGCTCTGCTTGCTGGAGACTGCTTGAGACAGGACTTGGCTGGAACGACGAACCGGAAGTGCGGGTAACTATGGCGACAAACAGCTTGCACGACAAAGGTAAGTAGGGGGGTAGGGTTTAGATAGGATCATAACTCCTCCCACAAATTCAGACCAAATGGTCTTCCAACATATATATATGTTCTAATCTATATAACAGTTCAAACACAGTTTATTTATACAGTTAGTTTTTCATCTCCTACAGTTTCTAGTAAAAATGCAAAGAGACAGAAATCACTTGCATAATTTTTTCTGTGAAAGTCTCATAGAAATAACCTTTCTAACCTTTATTTGTTGATTTCCAGTTTGATTGCCCAGATTATTGGAATATAGAGGGCTCTTACGACGCAAATGGTTTCCATGTTTTTTTTTTAAAACAATTGATGTCTGGTTGTGGCCCCTACATGAGTGAACATGAGTACATGTGAGGTCAGATGTGCACGCTCACTCTCTAATACAGTTAAATAGGTGCCCGGGAATTGGCGAGCCTAGCCAGTCTCTGTATAATGTTTTGAGCAGAGAAGGTGACTCAGACCCTTGGAAAGACACATAAAAGAGAGATATAGAAACATAGAAACATAGAATGTGACGGCAGAGAAGAACCATTCGGCCCATCTAGTCTGCCAAATTTTCTAAATACTTTCATTAGTCCCTGGCCTTATCTTATAGTTAGGATAGCCTTATGCCTATCCCACGCATGCTTAAACTCCTTTACTGTGTTAACCTTGACCACTTCAGCTGGAAGGCTATTCCATGCATCCACTACCCTCTCAGTAAAGTAATACTTCCTGATATTATTTTTAAACCTTTGTCCCTCTAATTTAAGACTATGTCCTCTTGTTGTGGTAGTCTTTCTTCTCTTAAATATAGTCTCCTCCTTTACTGTGTTGATTCCCTTTATATATTTAAATGTTTCTATCATATCCCCCCTGTCTCATCTTTATAAAAAAAAAAATTATTATTATTTCCAATCAAATTAGAAAAATCTATGCATTATCTATATACTGCAGTAAAACTAGCGATGGAAAATCCACATTTAAGTGTCACTTTTTTTGGGACACATAAATATTAAATAAAAAAATTCAACTTTACTGCTTCTTTTATTTTTACACAGTATTGCTTTTGTTTTATTACATTTCTTTTTTTTTTTTTACAGACCCCTTTACTAACTTGGTCAACTGATAAAATATAGAGGGCAAATTTTATTAAAGGACAAGGAGGCGAGTATTAGGCTTATCTCTTTCTTTTATTCCTCAGCAGCAAAGAAAGCTAAGGTATTTATAATATAGAAAAAAAAATTTAACAAAGTACCCGCACAGGGTTAACCATTACATCACATATCCTATCCAATAGGAACAGTCCACATATCATATAGTCCCATGTGACCCCATCTCTTCCTCTTTCTTTGCTGCTGCCTCAGCTAAGTACCACCATTTTGTTACCACTCTGACATGATTTAGTGTTTTGTATATTTATCTGCATATCTGTTTAATTATGCTTGTTGGTTATATTGTTTAATCGCTCTGTCTCTGTTTGGAGTACTATTTCCTTTTACTGTGCTACCCCCTTTCAGGGGAACCACCTAGGGGGGAACAGCTGCTGATTGCCGCCCCTCCCGAGATGTCCCGCCCGCCAGGATGGCTAATACATTCTCCCCCCTCGTATTCCGGGTAGTTTATTACCTATTTGCTTGCACGGTTCGCGGCGGCCGATCGCCCAGACGTGGGAAGTGTCCGTTCACGCTGGGCTCAGTCCGCGGTCGGGTGCTGCTCGCGCATGCGCCGTCGTGGCTGCGCATCGCGACGGCCATACTGTGAGTGGCAAAACTTTGCCATGCTTTTCTTCTGGCTCGCGTGGCCCACTGAGGGGCGGGCGCGATCTGATTGGACAGGAAGGCTGCTGGGGTGCACTGGTAAGATGACAGCTCAGTATTTTGTTTTGTGCCTTGCCTGCAGTTTCTTTTGCCTGTCACTACAGTGTATGATTTTAGACTGTTAAGTCTTGACAGCCAAAACTCTGCCCACTGTTATTTTGTCTATTTGTCCTATAACCTGCTTAACTAGCTCTTGCTTTAATATGCAGACCCCTAAAGATAACCCTAGCATTGCCCCCACTTAAGCAGGGAGTGCCTCCAGGCACCCTTTAACTGCGGAGCCTGGACCCCAACTCAGCCAAGGGGAGGATATAACCCCTATGGAGCAACTTAACTCAGAGGAACTCCATTCCCTCTTGGACAATACCATGACCAGATCGGTCACCCAGGCTATTTACTCCGCTATGGGGACAATGTCAGACACTATATCCCACTCCATTACTAACGCCATCAGGGCGTCTAACCGTAACCCTGACGTGACCCAACCTAAGGCCTGTGAGAATAAGCCTATAGCGTCGAGCGGCCGTAAAGCCACCGCAAAGACCCACCACGTGGGTGCGCATGCCTCCAAAACTGATTTTATGGACAGGTTGCGTCCTGTCAGCATTGAGGTCGTGGGGCCCCCACGAAAGAGAGCCACCCGCCGGGCAAAAAAGGCGCGGACATGGAAAAGGGCAATAGCCCTATCAGACTCATCTGACTTGGATTCGGATTCGGAGGAGTCCTTGAACAAGCCCAATGACATCGGCTCCACTGAATCAGAGGTTTCCTCCACGGGCCACAGCCCGAAAGGCAAAACAGCCATACCCGCTGTAGATAACACGGATACATCCGCTATCCTGGACCCACAAAGGGAACCCCTATTTGATCCAGATGAGTTACAAAACCCAAGGTCGGCGGAATGGTTTCCGACCGATCACGTGGCATGCTATATAGAGGCCAGGATCAGGAAACCCCTGGACAAAGCCACGAGGAACAAACTGAGGGAGGAGTGCCCCTCCCTGCGCCACACCAGACAGAGGCCCTAAAGTGGCTCAATCTTTGGGGAAATCCGTCTGGAAGGCGAAAAAGGGACTTGACTACTCCTTACGCCACTGCCTGGACAAGGTACTAGACACGTTAGGCCCAAGTGCAAAAATATTTGAGATGGTCGAAGCGGACTTAACTGAGGGGATCCCAATTGATCTGCTGGCCATTAGGGGTTGGGTCCAGCGTTCAATATGCCTTATCAGCAACGCTAATGCAGCTCTGGCTACGGAGCGAAGAAAGGCCATCCTGATAAAAATCAAACCAAAACTGGTGAATATGGCCATATCTGAGCCTGGGCCACAGGCAAAAGGGTTTCTCTTCGGAGATACATTCGTAAAGGAGCTGGGTACCTACGTCAGTACCTTTACAGTGTTAGACAAGGCACAAACAAATTTAAAAAGAGTGTTCTCTCCCCAAATTTTTGGTGGGGCCGGCAGACACCGGTGCCGTCTGTCCGTCCGCTCTTCCCAAGGTTCATACAGAGGATATCGAGGCCCTTCTACAACCAGATTTCAGCCTCCAGAAACCAAGCCCCCCTCTTCCCAGTCAGGGGCAGATCGTGGGAAACACGAGGGACCAGGGGCGTCTCATATGGCCGACGGCCTTATGGTTAGTGTACTACCAACCCATTCCCCGTGTATGTCTATGGTGGGGGGCAGACTGTCTCACTTTATTGTGGCCTGGCACACATTGACATAAATATGGTCGTAGGGTACCAAATCGAATTTCTACAACACCCGATCCAAACATCCAGACCGCATCTCCGCACACGACAAGACCCTGGTAGGCGAGGAAATCCTTGCGCTGCAAGAAAAGGACGTGATCTATCAGGTCCTGCCAGGCTCCCATGGTTTCGAAAGCAACCTCTTCCTAGTGCCCAAGAAAGGCGGTGGGTGCGTCCAGTCATCAACCTATGCCTCCTAAATGCATTCGTGCGATACCACCACTTCAAAATGGAGGAAATCCATTGCCTGCTGGACCGCCTCAGATTGGAGGAATGGATGGTGAAGCTAGACCTCCAAGACGCCTACCTCACAATCCCCATTGCCAAAGATTGCCAGAACCTTCTTCAATTCCAATGGGAAGGGACAACGTGGAGGTTCCAATGCCTTCCCTTTGGACTCTTATCAGCACCGTGGTGCTTCACCAAACTGCTGAAGCCAGTGGTAGCCCTCCTACGCAGCAGGGGTGTACGGATGATCATATATCTGGACGATATGCTGATCATGGCACACGACACCCAACTGCTGAGACAACACCTCTCATGGGCACTGTCCCTCCTACAAAATTTGGGATTTTTAATCAATTGGAAAAAGTCAATATTAACCCCATCCCAAACTATGGAATTCCTGGGATTCAATATAGACGCGGCAAAAAGAACACAGTCTGCCAACCATGAAGGTCAAGAGCATCAAGAAAGAAATACGCAGGACATTAGCACGCCCGATATTAACCTTACGTCAACTGGCCAACCTTACACAATATCTCGGTCCAAGCAGAATATATTCCTGGTTTTTCCTATCTAGTAGCGGATTGGAACTCCAGACATCTGCGGGATGCCAGCGATTGGCGACTGGATCACGAAACATTCCTACAACTTCAAACGCTCTGGGACCCGATGTCCATCGACCTGTTTGCATCTCGTTTGAATCCCCAGTTACCAACGTTCTTCAGCTGGAGACCAGACCCAGACGCCCTAGCAGCGGATGCCTTCCTCCAGCACTGGCCGAGGAGTCGATTGTACGCATTTCCCGCTTTCGCTCTCATGGCACGGACATTAGTACACCTCAGACGAACCCAAACTCCATTCTGGCCCGCGCAACCTTGGTTCCCATCCTTCATGGAAATGTCCATCGACCTTCCGAGATTACTACCCAATGTCTCACATCTTTTACTGGACCCAGAGGGCAACCCACACCCCTTACTATTTCAGGGGAACCTCAGACTCTTAGCATGGCTCCTTTCCCTGGGTCATACCAGATGTTCCACAGGACACTCTCGACCTGCTGGTAGGTTCATGGGCACCTGGAAGAAGACGATCCTACCAATATGCCTGGAACGGATGTAGTTGCTGCATGGAACAACAGGTGGATCCCATACGTGCTCCTGTAACCTACCTGTTACGTTTCCTTACAACCCTATATAACCAAGAACTGGCCTACCGTACTATTAACGTCTACAGATCGGCAATCTCTGCCGGCCATCGAGGTCTAGGGGGACCCCAGCTGGCCAACAACTGCTACTGTGCCTACAAGGCATAAGATTTGCTCAACCTCCCCAGCCTCGATAAACATCGTTGTGGGATGTGAACTTAGTCCTTCGTTAACTGGAATCATGGCCACGAAATGAGGGACTCACACTTAAACAATTATCAGCAAAACTGGCCATGCTACTTTGCCTGATATCCTGCAAAAGGGTCTCAGATGTCCGGGCATTGGACATAGATGCATGATCTTTCACACCCATGGGAGTGTCATTTAACATTTCCAGACGAACTAAATCATCAACTTCCTCGGTTTACTATCTGGCATTCCCCGGTGTTATGTCAATCTCTGCCCGGTAGCTTGCCTACAAGAATACGAAAAATGAACGCAGGAATTCCGGAGTCCAGTACATCAAGAATTGTTCTTCAAATGGATAATGACCTTGGCAAACGTGGATACATCTATATATGGCGCTCATTCTACCAGAGGAGCCATGGCTTCAAAGATTTTCAATTTGGGTTGTAGACTGGAAGACCTTCTCAGAACAGCGGATCAGTCACGTGAATCTACGTTTAGAGAACATTATTTTAGACTTACAGAACACATTTCATCTACAGTTATTTCACAGCTTTAAACTAGCCTAATAAGAGCCTCTGTGTCCTTTAATAAAATTACCAGATTTTACTAATTACATGATGTAAAGTCATGATTTTATTAACGACACGGAGGCGAGTATTCGCCCACCCAGATATGGTAAGTTTGGACAGTTTTTTTGTACCCAGTCCAGATACGTGAGAAGTTGTTCATATACATGGTGGAGTCTTTTGTATTTAATGCCTGACTCTTAGAATTTCTCAACAGCTATCATAGAGATGTCTTATTCAGTGAAGTAAAGGATTATATTTCAGATGGTTTAATACTATGATAGTATGAACATAGTTGGGAGGACATATTTTACCATTTGTTTTCTCTGTCCCCCTCTACCCTAAAAGTTACAACACCATGACAACACCGACATCTTCCACAGTTCGAGAGGATCAGTTCCGAAGATCCGGCTCTCTCTAGGAAGGATTTGTTGCCAGGATTTTCAGTTACCTGCCGTTTCTGCTGTTTGAGTTGTTTGGTTAAATGCTCTTATTAAATGTTAGCTTCGGCATCAACAAGAAAGAGGAAGAGATGGGGGTCACATGGGACTATATGATATGTGGACTGTTCCTATTGGATAGGATATGTGATGTAATGGTTAACCCTGTGCGGGTACTTTGTTTCATTTTTTTTTCTATATTATAAATACCTTAGCTTTCTTTGCTGCTGAGGAATAAAAGAAAGAGATAAGCCTAATACTCGCCTCCATGTCCTTAATAAAATCATGACTTTACATCATAAAATCTGGTAATTATTTTAGCATTAGTGAAGCAGGTATAAAATCTGGTATCTCTTACAATACTCAAGGAGCAAATATGAACTACGATCAGTGGAGACTAACAGAAGTATTTATGATGATATTCCTGTTTGCAGTAAAGTGATACAGTAAAGAGCTGGAGGCAGGGCCGGATTAAGAGCCCATATTGCCTGGTGCTGACAATTATGATGGGCCTTATCGATAGAAAACACTAAAACAGTCATACATGGAGGGCCGGAGTTTGGGGAAGCCTGTCCTATGCTAATCTCTCGCATTCATCTTTCAAGTCAGTCCATACCCCCTAACAACAGTGTCTGGTGAAGCAGGACTTCGGTGGGCGGGGGAAAGTTACGTGAATTACGTAACCAGAACTGCCTAAAGGGGCGAACATGCCCAAAAAGGGGGCATCTCTGCACGAAGAATTAGATTGTCAGCCTGGCGTGAATGCACATCAGGCAGCCTGCCAATCATGCAGGATGACCAACCAATGGCATACTGTGCAGACAGCACCCTTGGTATAAATGTGTTTAATGGTATAAATGTGTCTAATGATGCGCTAGCTCTATGCTTTCTATGGACTTTCCCCTAGCATTCACTGGTCTACTTCTCTCCTAACCTTCTTAATAGTAGGCAGAAGCTCCTGTTATACAGTCTGGGACAGAAAAAAAAATGTATGTAGTGAGTGTAGAAGCAAAGGAACATGCCACAGTGTTAGAGAGACCAAAGCAGCAAGAGCATAGTGCACAACGTCAGCTTTACCTGAGTTCATTGTCAGCCAATCCACACCAGTTTTGTTCCCCTATATCCCTCTTAAGTTTCCATACTTAAGCAAGAGCATGTGAAGAGTAGTTTTTTTGTTTTAAATCAGTGGGCCTATTCTATAGGCATGGGCCTGGAGCTGCAGCTCCATCAGCCCCCATGTTAATCCAGGAGGTCTGACTATTTCATTATCTCATCAATATACCAGCAATGTAAAGATGGTGCTCCAATAGACCTGTTCCTCTGATAACTTCATTGGTAGGTCCCAGGGGGTGTTACGTCCCAAATTGTGAAAGAAGAAGTCAGGGGAATGTGAGGCCTGGTGGATTATCTTATCAATGCCAAGCAGATACTGCTTGATGATCTAGAGCAAAACATGAACTAACAGACAAAACTGA